CATCCATGTTCAAAAACATATGTATCCTTCACTTGGTTGAAAATGAAAATAAAATATACGTTAACTATATATAAAATTAAAAAAAAAAAGCAACGGCAGAGAATTGCATTTTATAAGAAACAATCAATAATAAATAGGACACTTTTCGTAAAAATCTGTGCTACAGACGCCCAAGATGTTGATTGGTAAGATATTTCAACAAATATCTTACAAGAAAGTGAAAACACTGGGAGGTCCAAAAGGCAAGTGACACGTTCTTGGACATTATTTTATCATGGTGCATAAAAAAGAAAAAGAAAAACTTATTTTTCCATTGCTGGCTTTCCCCCACATTATCACAGTTTTGAATTTTTTGCTTGGTACCCTTGCTTTCCTGCGGTTATATATCACTTTCTCCCAACTTTGGGGTTAGAGCAGAAGGTAGTTCAATTATCCTGAGCACAAGAAAAACAGAAAGAAAGATTAACAAGTTAAAGAATCAGCTGGATACCAGTATCGAAAATGTAAGAAGTAATATGTAGGTTTCATTTGGACGGAATAATTTAAATTCATATGCTATAAGTTCGAATCTTCTATGGCATGCCATCTCAATTAACGATTTTTCATGATTTTATATACATACACATATATATATATTTATATATGTATACTTAGATAAATACATATAGATATTGGAGGGCTACTTTTCAAATACGTAGTTGGCGACCTTTTCTTCATCCTTGTTTGGTTATTTTTCAAGATATAGGTCCTATTTAATAACTCAGTTCATCATTTAAATTTAATGAGTTCAGCTTTTAACATTTTCAGACAAGTTTGATAACAAAAAATAAAACATCTAAATTAATTAAATAATACTAAATTTTTTGTAGAAAAAACTTATTCCAAAAAATAAGTAATAAACTATTCAATGATCATTTAATGTGATATATATTCAAATGTATAAAATTTAGTATTTAACAGTTCAATAACTTAATAGATGTAGACGTCATATTTCATACTTCAGTTTTTAAAGTTTAGTTTTATCAACCGCACTCATAGCCTCGAAGTATATATCTGACTTTAACACTTGTCTAAGCCCCCTGAACCTATTGGAAAATCCATCCCAAGAAGCTAACCCGGTCTGGCTTTCTTGAAAAGCCCTTAAAAATGATCGATTAATTAAAAACTTCAGAATCCACGTAGACGTGTATAATCAAAAAGCCGATTTATGGCTCTAGTAAACACAAATTCCTGAACTCATAGCAACTTTTCTTGGTAAACTTTCTCAAAGATTGAAAAGAAATTTTTATAAACTCTACTCTATATTGCGTAATTTGATATCATTGAAAGGGACATGCATGTTCCTAATTTGTTTAGACTATGTTTGGTTGAAATTGAATCAGATCATTATATCATCAGAGATCATCCTGAGAAAGTCACTCAATAATGATGACATTACAGATAGCATGGATGGCAGAATAACCAACGCTCAGATGGCAGGTTGTTATTCCCTAATTCCCCAAACTATGCAACAAATTGCAGTTTATCCCCCAAATTTCTTTTATAGGCACTTTGTCCCCCTCATAATATCTTTGGACAAAACTATCATTTCCATCTCAATTATTTTTCTCTTATCTTTTTCTTTTTAGTTTCTATTTTTCTCTTCTTTTCTTTTCTTTTGCTTTCCTTATCTCACATTCTATTATCCATTCTCGCTTATAGTCTTCTTGAATTAGATTTACAAAAATTGATTCTCCAAAAGCTACAAACTTAGAAACTTGAATAAATTTGGCTCTTATAAATATCTACCATTTTAGGTAAAATTATATAGAAGAAAAAGATAAAGTTAAATATGTAAAAACATTTAAACCCAAAAAAAAAATCGCCCATTATATTATTGTAAACTTTCAACAATGGCCCCTAATTTTACAAGTTCAATAGCTGTTAGGATGTGGAATATTGATACATCTGAAGAAATACAATATATATATTTTTTTTTCAATTACGACAGTTTGAAGAAATACAATATATGACATCTTCAATTCATGCCAAATGTACTAATGCAAACTTCCAAAGTTAAATTTGGTTTATTCTAATCACAACCCATTGAACACAAATAGCCAAACGTAGTATTGCCATCTGCCACACAAACATGGCACAAGACACCAAAAGCATTCAAATCATTGCATGTTTCTGTGTTAGATCCAAAACTCCACCACCCTTTTTTTCTAGATACATGTGAAAATCCGCCAACCAATAAAGAGCACTCCACCTCAGATAAAATAATCTCTTGCACCCAATGGTTGCTTGCCATGTCAGCAGATAAGAGGAACTTTTCCCATAAATGAAATTCTTTCCAGTAGTTGGTATGGGGACTAAGGTGGCCATGGTTTAAGATAAAATAAGTACAAAAACCAATCAGGAAATCTTTTGGTGCCCATGATGGGGATTGGGTAACCGTAATTACCAAAATACCCTTTTTGAAATTGGGCAGAAATGTAGACCAAAATGCTCAAAACAAATTATGGTGAATTCTTATGTTTAGGAGTTGATAATAGCCTAATAGGCGAATGACCTATTCTTCTAAGAACTAGTTGTTAATTGCTTTAAGACAATTCAAGAGGACAAACATCAAAGGAAGTATGATATATTAAATGAGACCAAGCTTTAGTCAAACTTTTAATTGCAAATCATGATAATTTTGAACTTTTTATGTAATTTAAAATGTCAAGAACATTGTGTTACCATCATAAATTGTTACATAGATTACAACCACATACAATTAGGGTTATTTACAAAACATTTTATTCTTATACTTCCGTTCATAGTTTCTTCATCACTTGGCTGAATCCCCCTCCTAACGCACTTTAGAAACGCTAATGATTGCAATTATAATAAAATTGATTAGGGAAAAAATGAATAAAAAATACTGCAAATGTTATTTTCCCTTGTTTAATATCTTCACTTTGCAAGCTTTGGGACAACAAAGTACCTGCTCAGTGATTAACATTAAAAATTAAGGGCCTGTTTGGAAGTCTAATTTTTTAGCAAGTTTGTATTATACTAGTTTTTTAACAACTTTTGCTATAGGAACCCCAAAAACTTATCAAAATTTTTAACCTACACACTTAAAATATCCAAAACACAAAAAAAAAAAAAAAAATCCCTTCCCCTTTTCTTCTTCTTCCTCCCCCACCACCACCTCCGTCGCCGGCCACCACCTCTGGTGCCGGTCTTCTTTTTTTTTTTTCTCCTTTTTCCCTCTCCCCCTCTTCCTCCCCTGCCATCCTCCCCTCTGTCTTTTTTTTTTCTCTCTGCGTCTCCCCCACCACCCTTCCCCTTCCTCTCTGGCCGATCTAGTCGCGAGACCAAATCGCATCGGGGGAGGGTGAGGGTGGCGGGGGAAGGGGAGAAGAGGGGGAGAAGGAAAATTGCCCAAAAAAAAAATCATTTCGCTGCTTCATCTGCCGGCAAGAGCAAGGAGAGGAGAGGGGAGGAGAGGGAGAGGGAAAATGTGAAAAAAAGGAAAGAAATCAGGCATGGTGAGAAGCGGGAAGGGGAACAGGGGAGGGGGAAGGGGCAGAGGGGGTGGCGGGGAGAGGGGAGGAAAGGGATGGCGGGGAGGGAGGGAGAGGGAGAGGGAGGGGGGGAGAGGAGAAAAGTAAAAAAAAAAAAAAAGATTGTATGTGTTTGCAGTGGCAGTTTCGGGAGAGGGAACAGGAGAGGGGGAAGGGAGGAAGGAAAGAAAGAAAGAAAAAGGAAAAGATTTCAAAAAAGTTTTTCATCTTACAAAAGTTTTTCTACAATTTCTACAGTGATTTACAGTAAAGTTTTATACAAACACCCAAAAAACCTACCTTCCAAACAGGCCTAAAAATTAAGTTCTTTAGCTTCTTCAACCAACTAGGTATTTGAAGAAGTTGCGTGTAAATTTGTTACTAGTTACTACCATATCAGCATACCATCAAAAATACTAAAATATCTGCAACGAAAATATTTGAATTTTTAATTCCAATTTTTTCCCATTTTGGTTAGACAGGAAAGATTTGAAAAAAAAAATAATTTAGTTCCATAAAAGTTATCTCAATAAGGGTGGTTATGTCAATGAATGATGTCACTAGACAATAATGGATTACTGATGAAATTGCAAAGATGGAAAATCTAAGCTTAGACTTCTCCATTTGCTTAGCACAAAAGTGGTCCTACTCCCTTCCCATAACTGATTAAACCTTCCCTCTCCTTGTCCCTTTCTTTTCTCTTTCCACACCCAACCAAAGTTCTTCCAGTCCCTCACTCCAGAGTCCAGACTCCACACTCTAGTGTGTGTCTATGTGTGATGAAGTGTGTGTGAGAGACAGAGTGAGGGGAGGGATAGGGGTTTTGAAGGGTGAAGACTGAAGGGTTCTCTCTGCTATATCCACTGAACTGATCAACAGAGGAATTGGACCTTATTATCTGCCCCTCTCGTGATTCATTTTGTCCCAGAAGAAAAAAAAACTCTCACCTCTAGAAATAACCATATATATATAAACCTCAAGGTTGTCCATTCTTGGATTCCTTTGCCAGACACGTTTCCACTTTTGAGATATTTCTCTGAATTCTCAGCATCCCTCTTCACCAAATCTTATTTCTATTCTTGACATTAGAATTTTGGGTTCTTGTGTGCATTTACTCCTCTTTCTTCGCCATCAGTCTTTGACAATTTGAGCTTTTCAGAGTTTTTAAAGCACTGTGTTTCAATTTTTCTTTCATCCTGCAAAACTTTCAGCGGACAGACAGTAGCTTTTCCTTTTGCTTTACCTCATAGCTGAAGATAGGAACTTCATAAATTCTGGAGGACAATTTTGCTTAGACTTTTCCTTTCAATGTGACGGTAAATTCAAGGCTGATTTTTGGAGGCTTTCTTGTATTTTTCTGGCCTTCCTTTTTAAAGGGTTTCTGGTGACTTCTTAGTCTGAGGTACTGTTAAAAGGTTTTGGCCTGTTCACTTTTTCTTGACGGTCATTTAGGTTCTTTTGGTCCATAGTGAAGGGAAGTGAAGTGGTACCTTTTAGGGTTTAAGCCTTCAGGGCTCTTGTACTTTCTTCTCCTTTGCGGACAGTTCCTCTTTACCTATTCAACTCTTGCTACTTCTCTGCCGATTGTTGCTGAAACTTTGCTGAATTTAAAGCTGTCCCTTTTCGCATCTTCATCATTAAGGTGCAATTGAAGCTTGAAACTATTCAAGAATTGCTGGAGTTTCCAGCTTTTTTTGTTTTATTGTTTTGTGAAGTGGGATTTCCTCAAAGCTTTCCCATTTTCATGACAATTGTCTTTTATTAGGCTTTGAATTCAGTTTTCCAGTCTTCTTTCTGAAATTAAATTCTGTCCTGAAAGTCGAAAGGTTGCAATTTGCAGCTTCTGAATGAAGGCATAAGTAGCTCAACTTTCCATCTTGTCTTGATGGGATTTTACTCTTGATTGAAGGCTTTTGTCAAGTTTCTCCTGGATTGAATTTTTTCAATCTTTCTTGATTCAATCTACAAATGTCTTCTTGTTTGAGTGGAGGCGGTCGAGCATACAGATTACACCTGGAGATTATCAAATCTCCAACAACATCATGGACGTCACAGTCGTCATCTCCTTCATCAACTCTCTCAGAATCAAGCAACTCTCCAATTGCAATCTCCACTAGAAAGCCTCGAACACCTCGAAAAAGGCCTAATCAGACTTACAATGAAGCAGCTGCTCTGCTTTCCACAGCCTATCCTAAAATTTTCTCCACAAAACACCTCACCAAGCCTTGCAAATTCACCAAACAACAGTACCCCTTTTCATATGAGCCATCAGACTTGTTACTACCTTTTCCAGTCATCGATAATTCGAGCTTCTTGATACATCATCCACCTGTGCTAGAGAAGCCTAATAGTTATCCAATTGAGCAAAAGATGGCAAGTTCTTGTGAAAAGCCATGCCAGAGTCCAGGGGAAATCAATTCCAAGATGAATTTCTCGGAGGTGTCTGATGATTTCAATGAGGATTTCGATGCAGAGTCAATACTTGATGAGGAAATTGAACAGGGGATTGACAGCATAATGGGGAATTTAGGTGTGGAAAATGAAGCAGTTGATGAGTCTAATACGTTTTGTTATGGTACTAATACTAGTCAAATAGGAACTTGTTATGGTTATCCAGTTGGGCTAGGATTTGGAGTTAATTCTGAGTATGGAAATTTTGGGATGAGAAATAATCACATTAGAGCATTTAGGAATAGTGACGAGGGAGATTGGTGGTTTCCTAGTGTAAATGTCCGTGACATCACACCAAGATTCCATAAACCACCGGCGGAGAAGAAGAAAAAAAAGGTCGAAAAGACGGTCGAATTGAAGAATTTAGTAGAACCATCATCAGTAACTGCAAAGGAGACTCCAATTTCATCATCATCTGCAAGAGCAATGAAGCAAAATTCTGGTCCTGCAGAAAAATTAGCCAAGGACAAAGTCAAGGACAAGGACAAGGACAAGGACAAGGAGGAGGAGGAGCCTAATGAGCCTAAGCCAAATGTTGGCAGCTTGCTACTAAAATTGAACTACGACAACGTATTGACTGCGTGGTCCGATGGGCCGTCGCCATTTGCCGATGACTCTCCAGTGGCTGAGGCTTCTGGAAATGATTTGCAAGTATGTTTTCTCTAGTCCTCCTGCCCTGAAATTGATACTAGTGGTTCGTTATTTTAGTTAAGAGTACTAAGCTTATTGTTTTAGACTATGCTCACGTCGCACGTGCTAACTTTTTCTTTTTTGCAAAATTGGCCTCTTCTCTTTGGAACTCTTTTTATTACTTTTTTAGAATTGTTTTTAAGTTATTGGAATTTGTTAATCATTAGTCACAAAATTTAATCATGATGGCTGTCGTTGGCTTCGTACGGCATTATCAAACAGCTGCTTAGGTAGGACCTTTTACCAAAAAAAAAAAAAAGATTTTTAGAATTTATTTTGGTTGTTCCTTTAAAAAATTAATCCTCAAGGAATAAATTCTGTGTCTATTTTTGTTTTATACACTCTAATTAGTGGTATGACTACACTAGTAATAAATAACAATTTTCTACATTCCATTAGTGTGACAAGATGGCGTCCTTTTTACTATTTCTTCTCCATGTGTTTGTTTCTTAATTGAACGAGCTTTTCCTTCTTTGATTTTAAAATAATTTAATTAACTTTATTATACGTCAAACTTTACTATCTTATTATAGGGAATGTATAAACTAATTAAAAATTGTGGGTTCCATATTATTTTAAGCTGTCTGTCATTCTTCATTAACCTATTAGCATCTTGTACGTATCCAACTTTGTTTAGAACTCTTTGAAGTCTACACTGAATTTCTTAAGGTCTTTAAAAAATATTGAAAACTCCATGAATTTATGCACCACAATATTTATTTAGAAAAATTCTGTACTAAACGATAAATGACTTAAACTATAGAAAAAAATTAAAAAAATGGCTCACTTTCTTGATTTTAGAGATTCTATGTTAATTTCTATCGTTTAGAAATATCGTGATATTGAGTCGCATATGAACTCATTTATTTAGTCGGTTAAGTAAACATGATTTTAAAAATTCACTAAAACATAGCAACTAACAACTATCCATTTAATCAAATGATAACCAAAATGTAGCGGATGAAAAATTCTTTTTTCCAAAAGTTGGCTTGGATGACTTTATCAATTACTATTAGTATTTTGTTTTGCGGTTGGGAGCATGAATCATGTGATGTTCACATGTTTACTTAGAAATGGTACTAATACTCTAAAACAAAATATTTGGAGTGTTTTTCAAAAACTAGTTTTTCAAATACAATAAAAGTTACAACAAAGTACTCTAAAAGATAATCTAAAAATTAGTTTAAATTTTTTTAAAATTTTACCAAATATCTCATAATAAAGTGCCAATAAAAAATATTTCAAAATATTTTCTAAAAATATTTCAAAATATACTCTAAAAACTCTGCTACAGCAAAGTTTTTCAAAAACATTCCCAAAAACAGCTAATTCAAACGGAGCCATAGTTTTCAATTATCAATTGAGAAACAAAATATACACATTTTCTTGGATGGTTTTGCAAAATTCCTTTTTCCAAAACTTTGCTTGGATGATTTTGTCAATTACCACCAATCATTTTCTGTTGCATTTGGGAGCATTAATCATTTTTCAAATCTATATTGAGTGCAGGCCAGGCTGGCTAAAATAGACTTATTCTCAGAAACAGGTGGTGTTAGGGAAGCCAGCGTATTGCGCTACAAGGAAAAGCGACGCACGCGCCTATTCTCGAAGAAAATCAGGTACCAAGTCAGGAAAGTCAATGCTGATCGACGGCCCAGAATGAAGGTATTTAACGGTTTTCTTTGGCCTTGCTAGCATTTTGGGTTAATTTTAATATACACCCTAAACTACCGCTCATTGTTAGTTTTACCCCTAGATATCAAGTTTTCTAGTATTGTTAAATCAATTGTAGCATTTTAGCAGGTTATACAATTATTCTGAAAAGGCTTCAATATGTCTAATTTGCATGAGTTTATTCCAATACCCTTGTGATTATAGTGTACTAAACTATTTTTATTCAAAGACAGCTACCAAAATTTAATGTTTTCCATACTATTCGAGCAATTTGCTACAAATTGATATTATTAGGTACTTAATTGCTGCAATTAATCGTTTAGGTGTATATTGCGCTTAATCTTTTCTTATTTCATGTGGGGTTAGAGATGTTAAGAAAGACCAATTGATCGCTTTGGCTTGACATAAAAATGCGATAGAAATTTATTCTTACAGGGTATTTTAAAAGTGTCATCTATTTAAGGAACGAAAAAATGCTTATTTGGTTGGCCAACACTGCTTGGAAGTATGACTTGGCTTCTTAACTCACATATTATTATTGCTAGAACATCTCCTGTTTTAGGAAATACTTATGTGTTAATTCTTGAGTGAATTTATTACTTCGAGTTTGCATGTGTTCAAATCATTTATATTGTATTAGTTTCTAGGTCATAGTTATAATTCCGTATAATTTGGTGGTTTACTATATCAAGTTTCTTATGATGATTACTCACAATGTAGTGGTCTCAAATAAATTTGTTGCTAATTATGCAGGGTCGATTTGTGAGAACGCCAAATTCTCCTGATAGTGAGCAAGGATAGAGGGACTTTTCTTAGCAACACTAGTCTATATAGCCATTTTGCATCAGCATTTTTTTCTTGATTTTTTTTCCCCTCAAGACCAGCTTGAACTACCACCATAGGCAGAAAATTGGTTAAGGTATGCGTACCAAGAAGAGAAGGAAGATCTTTTGCTCACTTTTTTGTAACATTCCTCTTAGACTTTCTGTTTGTAGCCTTCTTAGAGAAGTGCTTTTGTATCAATTTGCTTCTCAAATCATGGTTGAAAATTACCTTCTTATACAACGAGCAGCTGGCTAGAAACTTCACTCTTTGTTACTTGATGAATAAAGTAATTATACTATAATATTTTTCAACCGTTTTTAGTTTTTTTTTACTATTTTAACGTCCTATTAAATTCTCAAATTTGTTAGATAGATCAATACGTCCCTCCATGTAAACATGGTATTGATGTTAAGATATTAATTTCAATTGGTACATGTTATTTCTTATCGTTTAGTGGAGGATTTAACTCCATCTTACACCCTTAAACATGTATCACTTTATCACTTTGCACCATAAACATCAATTTTGGACACTTTGCATTCTAAATGTCCCATTTAAGTCCAATTAATAATTACGTTCGCAAAATTAATGAAATAAAGGGCGGTGAAAATTAATGACAATATGCTGTTATGCTCTAACTACAACCCTTAGCTTTTTGACCAGTTTTAGCACATTATCACTTATTTATATGGTCTCAGTTGCTAATATTGTTAGGAAAATTAACGAGATAAAAGATGGTGCTAAGAATTGATAATGTATTATTTTATTTTGCTACGAAACTTTGTAGTTATGATTACTTTTGGCATATTATGATTGATTATTAGGTCCTCTTTGCCGTTAATTTTGTAAAAGTTGTCATTGATTGGGCTTAAGTAGGACAAACTTGAGGGTTAGAGTTTAGAGTACAGAGTATCCAAAATTGAAATTTAGGATGCAAGGTGGGAAAGTGATACAAGTTCGCGGATGCAAAGTAGAATTTGTCCTTTTGTGGAGAATCTAAATATTATAAGAGAAAAAAAAAGGTTAGAAAATGTCCAAATAAACTCTGGTGTAGTAACAATTTTTATTTTTAAATGGGAGGGTTTGAATCCAAGATCTCCTACTTATAATCCCTCCCACCCTTATCACCCAGTCCAACCTTTCCGCCACTTTGATGTAGTAACTTACTAATTAAAATCAATCTAAAACTTGGAATAAATTATTTAAATTTATTACAATAGATCTAAAATGCTTATAATGAAATGCCATTCAAGGTGGGAGGAATTATAAGTAGGAGGTTTTCAAAAAAAGATGTAAAAGAAGAATGAGGTGTAGTATGAGACTCCAATATATAAGTGTGTGTAAATAATAATCTCAAAATTTTTATTTCCTTGAATCATGGAAGCATTTTTCTCATCAATTAATTTTCAAAATATGCTCCACCACTATGAGTACAAAGGTCTTAAGGAGGTGAAGACTATTTTTAAAAAATTTAATAACATGGTTGAGGAAAAAAAGTATAATATTTTGATCATTATAAAATGGTTGTGTAAATCTAAAGAGGACCACTGTTTGTACTATTGAAATTTTTTTTTTTAAAAAAATTGTTTTAGAATGAGAAGAACTCTACTTTTTGAAATATTTTAAACTTAAATTTATCCTATGCATAAGTACAACTATGAAGATGAATGTCTTGAGTCAAGACCATTTAAGAAAATCTTAATAATATGGTCGAAGAAAAATATATAACAATTTTTATCTTTAAAAAGTGTTGTGTATTTTTACTTACTAGTTTATTAAATGGGGTCATAAGGATTAGATGTTTTAAGGGATGTTTTTCAAAATCTTTACCGTAATATTATGTTTCAAAATAATTTCTACTATAGATGGTCCATTTGGATTTGGTGATTTTGGGGATGTATTTTCAAATATTTTTAAAATTTATGATTTTATTGAGGTATTTTTAAAATTTTATTAAAATTTTTTTACCACGACCACTTACCACTTGTTCCTCCTTCACCACCAACATCCTCTTCCTTTCTCCCTCCACTGCCACAATCCCTTTCCCTCTCCCTCCTCCTCTCTCCTCACTCTCCCTCCCTCACTTTCCACCCTCTTCCTCTTTCTCCCTTTCTTTCTTCTGCTCCCTCCTCAGGGAAGGAAGGAAAAGGAAGAGGAAGAAGAGGAAGAGAATAGAAGGAAAGAGGATTGGGGGAGGGGGGAGGGGGGAGGGTGGTGATGGTAGAGGAGGGAGGAAAGGAGAAGTGGTGACGATGGGGAGGAAGGTGTGGTGAGTAGTGGCAGGTAGAAGAAGATGTAGATTTGTTATTTTATTTATTTATTTATTCTTAGGTATATTTGAGATTGTGTGTATTTGGAGTATTTTTAGGATGTGCTATTATATACTCCGAATACAAAATCTTATTTTTGAAATACTCCCTAATCCATACAAAGCCCGTGTTCATATTATCCTGTACAAAAACATTTTGCAAATGAAGTTTTCATTGTTTGTCATGTACAACTAAAACAAATCTTAATCTTCCAAAACTACTAGCTTTGTAATTTCTTTTAAAACAATATTCGATTCACTTGAAGATCTTTAATAGTTAGATTAATTATTTGTTCTTAAGCAGCAAATTCACTCAGGCTAGCTTTTTGATAAGTCAGTTTGACTAAGCAATTATTTTTGAGTTAATCTTATATACATCGATAATGTATATTCTATCATGCTTGGATATATGATACACATGCAAAGATTGAATTTCAAATTCAAGTTTATATTAGTTTTCATGCATCTAATGGTGATAATCTATACACTATCAATGTACAAAAAATTAATCCATTATTTTTATCTAAAATTTAAGAATTTAGACATTTGAATTAAACTAACAAATATTAGATAATATCAATCATATTTACTTTAGACTAAAAATAATTTAGAAAATTTAGAAAATGATACTTTGATTGCTCATTGGAAAGCTTTTAGAAGATCTAGACTAGTGAATAGCCTATATTAACTTTGTCTCCCATGCTATGCATGGGAATAGGGTTGGCAATTCCTAACACAACACGTGAACGTGATACGAACACGACATGAAAAAAACCTCGATGAAACATGACATAGAATAATTTATGTAAAAAATGGATCAACATGAACACGACACATAACAAAATGGGTTGTAGTGGATCAACCCATGGGCTGACACGATTAGCTTGTCACTGACACATTAAGAATTTTGAAAAAATGTTACTTGGCTCATTCTTAATATTGCACCAAAACTAAATGGTTTTGTGTTAAATTTTAAAGTTTGAAACTTAAAATAATATAATTAATCTCTTACAAGAATATATAAACATGCAAATCCAAACTTCACAAATTCAAATGTACAATTTTTTTTATTTTAATATTTTGCTTCCTTCCTTCATTGTTCTTATTTTCTTAAATTGGCGAATATAGACAACCTTTATGATTTTAATTTTTCACTTCCCATCTTCATTCTTAATTTCTCAAATTGATCAATACTTATCTTTAGATCAAAGTTGCTCATTTTTCTTCATTTCTTACTGATTAAATATTTTTTCTAGGTAAATTTTAACGCTATTCCATAAATTTTCTATTATTTTCATCTAATTTCTTTTTGAACATTTTCTTGTTTATATTCCTCTTCTATTGCATAGTTTTCCCTCTCTTTTTTTGCTTAAACATTTGTCTTTCTTGTTAATGAAAAACAAATAGACTTTTTTGTATATCTTTAATGAGATGATAATGCATTCAAAACTTATATAAGTAAAATTCAATCAGAGGTTTATGAATAAAAGTGATTAAGGGAACACCACATATTCTCTTAGAAAGAGAATCATGTTTTAAGTTTTGGTTATATTCACCTCTACTTTTCATATAAAAAGTTAAATGAGTCAACTGGGTAAAAACACAATTAGACACGTTAGTGAACAAGTCATGACACAAACATGACATGAAAATCAAATGTGTCATGCATGGATTTGGACTCATTTAACACGAACACGAATATGACATGATACAAATATAACACGACATGATACACTGACAACCCTGCATAGGAAATGTTGATTAAAAATAATTTAATACTAAGATAAAGTATTTATTATTATTATTATTCATTTGTTGAATTTGGAAGCTGTAAGATTTGATAGAATTTGTTACAAATATTTGTAATTATCAATGACAAGGAACTGTGTTGTAGTGTGGTTAATGTAATATTTTGAATAAAACACTTGGAATAAACTTCATTTTTTTTTGAATTTCAGTACCTAAATTATAATAATCATATATATATATATAATAAAGTCGTATCCTCATACTTATCCCCTTCATATTTTCTCTTTCCTACGTGGCTTAACGAGACGGCAAATAGTTTCCTATGTGGCTTGCTCCTTTTTTGTTTGGATATATATCAATTCTTATTTCCTATAAAAATTCTTAATATTATATGATTCTTATTTCCTACCCAAAAAAGGAACTGGAAAGTAATGCGATATAAATAAAAGAGACATAAATCTCCTCTATTAGATATATAGGAATAAATGATAATATATTTTTTTATAGTGTCCTATTCTTTTTTTTTAACAGCTTCATCATAGATCCTTTTTATTTTAAGATAATCTACCCATATATAGAACAACATACAAACAATCTAGACATGGAAATTAAAGAAAGTTAGCTCGAGAAAGTTTTTACAAGACTCACAGTCCCCATGCATAATTGATGTACAAAGAGAAATGGCACTTCATCTGATTGAAAAATTCTGAAAAAGTCCATAAAGAAAATGGAGTGTCATCAACCAAAGAAATAAAATCCCATTATCATAGCTAAAGAAAGATGAGATAAAACATTAGATATTTGTTGAAGTTTTGCACCCCGAATGCCCCTACCCGACCCTCTATCCATAGTGTCCTCCAATCCAAGAGAAAGGCCTCCATCCGTAGTGTCCTCCGCCCGTCTTTTTTTTAATATATTTCTGCTAATAATTCCTTAATCACAATACATCTCTACCCAGATGGTGGGGAGTATTTCGTGTGTGGACTCACATCATAGGAGTCCATACACTTAAAGGACTCGATATAGTGGAGGCGGTCTTTTAAGGTCGGTAAAATCTATCTTAATAATGTATTTGTAAATTTATTACGTATAGGTTTATATATGTGCATAGTACGAGTCACATAAAGTCTTATTTCCTACCCAAAGTTATTTGGACGATTATGGTTTTATTTCCTATAAGAATTCTTAATATTATAGGATTCTTATTTCCTACCCAAAGTTACGTACTTTAAGCAACTTAAATTAAGATA